AAGCAAACTGTTGCAGTTTGGAGGTTTGCAAACCTGCTCCAACTCTAATTGATTAAAGTCTGTCTGTATGATGGCATACATGAGGTGATAGAATAGTGAAAATGTGAACTATATAGTTTAACATGACAGAACAAATTAATTTGGGATTTGATTATAACTAATTTAAGACAAATGTTGACTTACAGTAAGTTTCTCGACACTTGTCAATCCTGTTTGTGAAATTTCTTTCTTTACTCTGTATTGTGCAAACTGTAAAATGCCATCCAAGTTATATGGAACCATGTAAAAATCAGCCCTTACACTTGTTTCAACGTGTGTTGCATGTTTAGGGAAATGAATCAGAAGCTGTACGACAGTAATGACGGTCTGCGCTCAGCTCTTGCCAGTGAAGTGGTTGCAGGTAAAAGGAGGGTAAGTTCCTTGTTTGCTAATTTTGTATTTCCTCATACCATCTGACTCCACATCAGATAAAAGGTGACAGTCAACTGCTTTCACTAGTTTAGGAGTCAAGAAATAAAGTTTCCTCCTTGGCATTTCTAATCTGTTCAACAGCTGTCTCCCCAAAATGAAATCCCAGCGCGAAGGATGAAACCCCTCCGAGAGAGCACACTCAACCATGGCAGGTACAGAAAGTTTTTCACACACCTGCGACTCTGCAGATTGATCTCTGCGAATTAAATTGTCACCGCTAAAGCCTGAAGTGCACATGTCGATGCTCGGGTGCAGCTTGGAGCGGGATCCCAGCAAAACCAGCTACTCTCACGTGGCCACCTGGGCTGATAAGTACCTGGACAGCGGAGTCTCCCTGCCGATGGACACGGCCGAGATCTCAGGCAGCGATTATGACAGCGATGACAGCAGGAGCTCGGCGGAAACTGTGCACCACAGCTACTCGTATGTCCCGTCTGATGTGGAGGTCAGAGAGCACACAGGGGTCGGAGAGCGGGTCACACACTGCCAATTGGCTGCTGCGCTCTCTTTCACTTAACATTTGCATTTTTGTTATCTATTGCAGATATCAGAGGTGAAATCTGAAGCTGCAGTGTCAATGACTCCTAGTAGGACGAGCTCCATTGCTTCATCCCTACGGAGACGTTTGTCAGCCTTCTCCACAAAGGTACACTGGTTTGGTACTTCAGTGCATATCACCTTAAGGACTTACTCGGTGATTTGCAGATCATAATATGTTTAGACTGCTAACTTAAAACTAAAGAACTAATAAATAAAAACAGAATTTTCGGGTTTATTCTTCTGCAGCATGAAGGAATCAGAGGCAGGAGAGCAGAATTGAAAGTCAGACTGTTTATTTAGGAGATCTGGATAAATGTTGCACCAATATAAACATGGACACATCCAACATTCTTCTTCTATTCATGTTTTCTTCACCAGAGTCACAAACAGCGGTTTAGGTGAAGCTCAGTGTGACCTCACAGAACAGGTTTTAGGCCACAACTCAGTTCTTGTGTGGACTATGACAAAATTTCACCCTAATGTCAGTGAAGATAAAATGATCAAGTAATGACATCGGTTTTAAATTTCTTTTGTATTTAGTATGAATCAACCATTTATCATACGTTGACTCATCATCACTTGGGTTTGACGGCGTGCAGCAGGCTTTAGTGGATTTAGTGGACAATGCCCAGACACAGGGATGTAAACTGCAGCTTGACTGGTTGGTCAGGTCTACTTATGAGTGTTCACTGACAAAAGAACAAGTCGTTCTGCTATTATGTAGAGACTTGTAAGTACTTATGCAAGTGTTTTTCATCCCTGGGACAATTCTCTACCCAGCAGCTATATTAGTTAGATATTTAAACTTTGAGCCACTTTAGCAGCACCACTCTAGGCTTGATGAAGTCGGTCTGTCTTTGCTTCACCTCTTAAATATCACAACATTCACAGGAGGGATTTGCACAGCATTTTCTACAAACTTTGATCATTGTCAGATGATGTATCCTGATCACTTTGGTGATTTTGCTGTAGCTCAGATGGGCAAGTGGGTTCTATAAAAATGACAAAGTTGGCAGTTCAGTCCATGGCTCCTCCACACATCCATGTGCTGAAATGTCCAGGGCAGGACACTCCTGATTGCAGGCAAACCTCTTGCAATCTGCTCAGATGTGTAAAATCTGGGTATATATATATATATGTATAATATTTATTGTATTTTATTTTATTCTTTTCTTTCTGTAGTTATTTTGCTTTATTTTATTTTATTTTTTACATTTTCCTATTTCTATTATTCCTGCAAATTCCTAGGGCGACACCAACAGCCAAAACCAAATTCCTTGTATGTTGTGTACGTACTTGGCCATTAAAGCTGATTCTGATTCTGATGGCACCTGTTTCCCCATTGCTGCGAGTGTTTTGGTAAACGAGAGGGAAAATGCGCTGTACAAGTTCGGTTAATTTACTTATTACTGACTTCTAACTCCAGTGGCACCATGAGGCCGACATCTGTGGTTGTGAGAGAAATGTCTCAAATCATTGATAAACCGTTGTTTGGAGTACACATTCATGTTTCCTTCAGGATGAATTCTGATAACTTTGGTGATTCATTGACTTTTACCTAAAACTCAGTCATCTGCTCAACATGAGCTTGCTAGCGTTGATCATTGGGAATATGTTGTCGAATCACTGCAGAGCTGATGGTGTGGTCTCAAGGTGTCAAAAGTATGTATGATTGTTGTTTTAAAGATCAATGTCTGTTTATAACTAAATGACTATTTTAGGGCAAAGTAGCGACTAATTACATAAAACATATCGTTGAATTAAAATGCTGCAAAGACAATGTTTGCATAGAACCACATCTTTACTTTCTTGTAGCTTTAAACTCCATCTCAAGGTCAAAAGTAGGTGAGCTTGTTGTTTGTATTTCTTCATTCCATTTACGCAGCCTTTAGAAGCAGACATAGAAGAAACGGAGGAACCTGCCCCGATGTACCGTCTGGTTTTAGCCGGGGACGCCGGAGCTGGAAAGTCGAGCTTCCTGCTGAGGCTGACGCTCAACGAGTTCAGAGGAGATATTCAGACAACGCTGGGTGGGTGCCACAACAAACAAATCACTTTCAATCTAACGCTGACGCATTCTTGATCTCAGACATGTAAAGCTGCTTTCTTTTGTTCCCAGGCGTCGATTTCCAAATAAAGAGGATGCTGGTGGATGGAGAGAAGACGAGTCTGCAGATATGGGACACAGCTGGGCAAGAGAGGTACGGCACAACTTCAAGGGCCGTTTTATGGTGTTTATCAAGGAGCAGCAACGGGAAAAAACGGGATGTTATTTCTGTTTTTAAGTGTGTAATCTTGTTCTTTACAGCTTGGCACAGTGAAAAATCCACTGGAATAAAACTCAAGTTGTATTTCTTGTGACTTTAGATTCCGTAGCATTGCCAGGTCCTATTTCCGGAAAGCTCACGGAATCCTGCTGCTCTATGATGTTTCTTCAGAAAGCAGCTTCCTTAACGTCAGAGCGTGGGTCGATCAGATTCAGGTAACTGCAGTGATGCTGATCAAATGTTGCACGAATGACAAAGAATCACCCCCACAAAAAAGTAGGAAAATATTTTACGGTGCCCTTTGTTTTCATGAAGGATTCAACAGACGAAAAAATCCCCATGTGTGTTATTGGAAACAAGGTGGACCTCCGAGAGCAGCTTCCAGAGGGAAGCTGTGTGAGCAGTTTGCACGGGGAAAAGTTGGCCAAGGTGTGTAAGCTTCATTCCACCTGGTGGAAAAATGTTTATACAGATGCCAGGCCTCCGAGGTGTCTGCGTAAACTGAGTGCAGTCAACGATGCTGTTGCTTTGCTTGCAGGCGTACGGCGCCTTGTTCTGCGAAACCAGTGCCAAAGAGGGAACCAACGTCGTGGAGGCCGTGCTTCATCTAGCAAGGTAGGAGGCCCAGAAGACGAGGCTTTGAGTTTAAATGTTTTATTCCTTCGCAAACTGTAACACCCATCGTTTATCTTTTTTTTTTTTAACTTTTCCTCAGAGAAGTAAAGAAAAATGTCAAACTGAGGCGGCAATCAGATTCTCAGGTCAGACTGAGTCAAAACAACCCAAAGAAGACTCTGAACAGCTGCTGTGGACTGTAGACAACTGGTACATGTAGACGGAGCAATGAAGGACACCTTGCTGTTTTTATTTTGTGATGAAGAACCCAATTTTTCCTGCAAGAACACTTTGTGGCATATTTTAACTTGGATGTATTTCACCTGTGAAGTTTAAATGTTAACTGATCAACATGAAGGTTACTGTTATTGGAAAGCTGCACATGTACAAATATACACATGTACGTAATATAATCGCGCTTATATTTTTCTAAGTTTTTGTATTTATTTGGTAGTCATTTTATAAACTAAATAAATAAGGAACATTGATGCATAAATTGAGAAGTATTTTAACAGGTTAATGCACTTTCATTTCCTTTGAGGCCAAATTTCTTTTAAAGCAGTGCTGTCTTTAAAAAATAAAAACAAAGACAAAGGACGGCACATGTTTTATTTTTTATTATAAGCATCAGTGGAAGCAATATTGCATTGCAGTTTAAACCTCTAAAGGGAGCACTGATCAAATAGTTCACACATTTGTGATGTTTACAGTGTTATTCATTTACTAAAGGTACTTTTTAAATAAATGATTTGATTAGTCTTTACAAAAGTTCCACGTCCACTGAATGTAGTTTTTTTTTTTTTTGACTATCTGTGACATATTCCAGGGCCCATTTTTTATGACAAAAAGAAATGTAATCCCTTTTCCAAATAAAACAGATTGAACTGGAAAGATGGCTGTTAGACGCTTCTGTGTTATCGATCAGTGGAAATCTCTGTTGGTAGTAAGAATTCACTCCATTCAACTATTCACCTTTCAGTGAAAGCTTTTTTTTTTTTTTTTATACTGCATGATAGTCGCACAAATGCAAGTTCAGGCTCCAGTGCTGCCGCTTTGCACTCACAGTAGAAAACTCTTTTTAAACGAGCTGATTGGAGAGGACCGGAGACCAAACTCTGCTCCTGCACATGGTGATGGTTTCCAAAGTGCTTCCTGCAGAGGATTTCAGTTTCTTGCAGTCAGAATCACTGACGTCACTAAACTGCCCAAGGCCACCACCAGCGCTCCGAGTATGAACTTCCAGGAAATTCCCTAAAACACCACAACAAGAGCACAGAAGGTCCAATAAAAATCCAATGTGTGTGTCACCACAAAAGAACAAATTGGAGACGTTTACATGCTGCAGCTTACAGATGGCTTTTTCTTAGGTGGAATCAGGAAAGGTGCGATGTCATCTCCAAGCATCTCTGCTGGTTTGGCTTTCCATTCTTTGGTGTCTTTGTCTCCCGTTTGCCTTTTGACGAGTTTAGATAACTCGACGTGGATCGCCTGAAGAAAACGAGGGAGAAAAACTTGTTGTACATCCTGTAGAAAGTGGCTAAAACGGTTTATCGAGACAGGAAGTGTGAAGCTGTAGTTTTAAAAATGTCCAGCAGGTGAGAGCAGAGGTTTGGAACATAAAGTAGACATTAATGACAAAGCAAACAAATCCTGTATTTAAATCTAAACCTTATCCCAGATATCTATGCAAACAACTTTACATAACATATTGCAAATTAAATCCTCTGATTCCTCATTGGACACTGTAGCTGGTCATAGAAAATTAAAGCAAATTACATAATTTATACGGCATGTTTTAAAACAATGAGGAGGCCAAAGTGCTGCACAGATTATAAAACAGTAAAAAAATAAAAGTGTAACAAGCAAGACGGGATAACATTTGAAAACATAAATTACTAATGAGGCAAAACAGGATAACGTCTTATAAAATCAACATTAAAATAAATACAGAATGCTAAAACATTAAGAGCCATCTATTTTTTTTTTTCAATCCTTTTTTCCTGATCTTCTACAAACAACAACCTTCTCACAAAGCAGCTTAAATCAGGTTTCTCTAAAGCATTTTATCCACCATTGAGACAAGGGGTGTAATTACCAAAGCAGCAGATATTTTTGTTTTCGTCTAGACAAGACCAGACATATTTGGGATGGTGGCAGTGTGCCCTATAGGTCAGGTCACTGTAATGCTGGCAGCGGTGTGCCGTAAACAGCTGATGGAAATGTTCTCCTCACACTTTCTAAATCACATCCAAAATAAAATAATGGCCATAAACTGAGAATATATGTTTTTTTTTGTTGCGATATGAACAGCTCACCAAAACCAGTTATCTTAATTACATAGCGTGGAGTCATATTGTAGCTGGAAAGGATGACTCAGGCTTTTTCTTACCTTCACTTTACAACATTTGGAACAGGCTAACAATATTTAACTTTTTTTTTTCCTCTTATTTTTAACCAAGTTGGCCAGAAAGCTCTCTGAGTGTGGTCACATCTGTAGACTGCCAGATGTGCAGTTCGCTCGAGCCTCTGTGGAGGATTTAGCAGATTAGACAAACCACACAAACAAGACAGAACAGGCCTTCAACACAAGCAGCTCACGAGGATCTTTTCAGGCTCATGTGAAAACAACTTTCTTTCATATTCAGTATTACGGGGGCTGTGCCTGTTTTTGTGAAAGAGAGGAAATGCTCATTTGTTTGGAAATCAAAACCAAAATGTTCTCTTTTGTGAAGTTATAGGATATATATTTAAATGTTTTGAATAGCAAGGGGTATCTGTGGGTGCCCTGATTAAGGAGAAAACAACATTTTATTCTTTGTCAGGTTCCAAATTCAAATTCTCGAGAACTGAGGCTGAAGCTTTAATTGAATATCTGTCTGAGGGTGTTTTTGTGTTTTCTGAATGTGTTTCTGAAGCTTGGAAGAAGGTGAGAGAAATAACATGTGACAGATAAAAGTTATATTTCATCTTAGTGGACACAAATGTGTAAAAATGCATATTTTGTTTAGCTTGGCTTATGTCAGTTGTGTATCTTTTTCAGCGGACTATCATTGCAGTGTTGGGAAGTCAGTCTGCCGCTTTGTTCTAAACTGAAAGATCATTTCATGAATTGAAACTGGGGCTGCAACGTGAGCGGTGGTTAGCACCGTTGCCTCGCAGCAAGAAGGTCGCCGGTTTGCATCCCGGTGAGGACACCCAGGATCTTTCTGTGTAGAGTTTGTATGTTTTCCCCGTACAGCGTGGGTTCTCTCCGGGTTCTCCAGCTTCCTCCCACACAGTCCAAAAACATGTTGAGGTTAATTGGTGATTCTAAATTGCCCGTAGGTGTGAATGTGACTGTGCTTGGTTGTCTGTCTCTAAGTGTGGCCCTGTGATAGACTGGTGACCTGTCCAGGGTGTCCCCTGCCTTCACCCTGAGTCGGCTGGGATAGACTCCAGCCCCCCACGACCCTAGTGAGGATTAAGCGGTGTATAGATGATGGATGGATGGATGGAATTGAAGCTGAGGATCCCTCCAGCTGCTTATGCTGCGCTGGTGCAGACATTTACATCATCCTTCCACATGAACTGTAATAACTTTGGCGGTACCTTACATTTACCTCAAAACTAACTCTCCAAAAACTTGGCGAACTGATGATACTCCCATCAGCTTCTCCTGCATTTTATTTGCTGCTAATTAGCAAACGTCAGCGTGCCAATATGCTAAACTAAGATGGTAAACATCACACTGATTGTGAGCACAGTTAGCGTGCTGATGCTAGCGTTTGGCTCGAAGCTTTTCTGTTCTTAAGTACAGCCTCAGAGCTGCTATTACCACTGGAGACTCTAAGTCTTGTTTGGATGTTGAAGGTACATGTAGCTATTATTTTATAGCCAATAAATTACTATAGTTAGCTATGAAGTATCTCCTAACTACATGTTGTACAGTCGCTGAAATGCAGTAAAAATGCAGATTATACATTCAGCCAAACGTTTCGTGGTGAATGATTCTGAAGAACTGTATGATGGACTAACATCATTCATTCACTGTAAAGTTTTGACAGTTTCTGTATCCCCAAAATTGAAAGTTAGAGTTTGCTTTTATCCCTATATAACGGCACATTTATGAGGCATTTGTGAATAAAAACACACATTTATGGAGCCATTTCTATTGATTGGGGAATTCCGGGAGCTTTAATAGTATTTACAGATGCAGTCGTCCTCTAATGTATTCATACCCTCCCATTAAAGAAGGAAAAAACCAGCAGAAATAAGTTGAAACTGACAAAAGTAATAATAAATAAAAAATGTATAAAAATCATGACATTGCTTTTGAATTGTGGTTCAACAGAAATATAAAAAAAACAAGCATGATGGGACCCATAAACTAATATTTTGTTGAACAACCCTTTGGGCCAATCACTGCAATCAAGTGTTTTCTGTAACTCTCAATCAGACACCTGTTGACAGGTATTTTGATTTTGGTCCACTGCTCATCAGCAAAGTGCTCTAATATATTTTTTTTAAATCATTCTTTTCAACCACAATTCAAAAACAATGCCTTATTTCACTAAATTGTAATTTAACAAATTTTTATTTATTATTACTTTTTTCAGTTTCTAGTTATTCGAGTGACTATTGTGAATTTTGCCTTTTCTTTAATGGAAGGTTATGAATACATCTGAGGACGACTATAATTTTGACCTTTTCATGTGTGTGTGTGTTTGATTCACAGGCAGGTTTGGAAGAAGCCCGGTGAGGAGACGGACCTGCTCGCCCACATAATCTCACCTTGGTGGCTGGCTCCAGTTTCAAGGCCTTTTTTAGCACCTCCATCGCCTCTTTGTATTCACCCTTGTCAGACAGGAGCTGGGAGAGATTAGAAAAGCCGCAGTGTGAGCAGTGCTGGAGGACCCATAAATCAAAACAGACAGAGAAGAGATAGCAATATGGCTATTTATTCCTCAAAAATAATTAAATCTAATCCCATATTAAACAAAGTCCTCTTCCTTCCGGGACACTCTCCCTGCATTTTATAGGTTTTATGGGTTTGATAAGGATCAAATGAGATGCTACACGCTGTCTCTCGGCCGCTCACCTTTCCCGTCCTGAAAAGGGCCTTGACGTTGTTTGGCTCGAGGGTCAGAACGTCCCGGCTGGTGTGCAGCGCTTCGTCAAACTGCTCCAGTTTGAGCTGAGTGGTGGCCAGGTTGTTCAAACACTTGACTCTGTAGTCCTGCACCTCTTCCTCCTCTGCCTTCGCCTTCCCATCGCTGCCATCTGCACAGACACATGGCTTATCACATGCGCCCTGCTGCTGTGCACGCTTTCATTGTAACCAGGTTTCTCTCTTTTTTTTTTTTCTCATTGGTGGCACAAACGCTGTGGATACAGAGATGCTAATAAGGACAGGTTTGACAGAGACTGCTTTACTCATCTTGGGGATTTGTTTTATGTTCTTGGAAAACAGGAGAAAAAAAAAAAAAGTTGGACTTTCAAGGAGAAACTCCCATTGGGTGTCATTATAAGGCTAGTTGGTGTTCTGTTGTTTTATTCAGCTGGATATTTTATCACCATCCCTGCTGTAACAACTGCACGGTTGACCCAAACATGTCCGGCTGAATTAAGTAGCGGCTGAAGTAATGAGCACTTGTTAGCACAGAGGAATTTTACTCTTGGCCCTGAGCATGATGGGTAATAAATGTTAGCAGCTTAGGGACCACCTCTATGAAGATGTGCCACATAAATGTACTAAACTGGTTAAATGTAGGCAGTGTTCGTTAGGATGCAGCTCCAAGTTGGACTCTTTACGCAGACATTTGGGTACTTGGGGGCAAAAAAAAGTAGAGTGGAGCAACATAAAACTGAAAAAATGAGCTAAAAGGCTGCAGAGAACTGAAGGAAAACGCAGAACCATTCTCTCTGGGCTCATCGCTACTACTTTTTATACTATAGAAGGTCATTAGATCTGCTCCTTTGATATGAATGATGGTTAGGAGAGTAGTGTTTTATGTAATTAGGGTCCGAGCACTCCGGTGCAAGGACCCTATTGAAACCCTTGTGATTCTTCTTATTATTATTATAGTTCAGCCGAATTTTTGGCCATTTTCTAAATCGAACTCCTCCTAGGGGGT